AAATGACTCGCTGCGTTTTAAAGTGACCACAGACTGCAATAAAGCAGCAGTAAAACTAGAAATTCCCCAAATGTGTAATAATATGCAGCTTCAGCCACACAGATTTGTTTTATACTGTAAATTAAAATGAGAGAATTGTGTATGTTGTCTTTACTTTATATATCTAAATACAGAGTTAACCAATGCCGACATCTCACGTAAGTTTGGAGCTGCGGATATAAATGTCCGGGCAGCCAATACCTTAATTAAAAGAACAAACCTCAGAGTATGGCCCTGTTGTTTCAAGAGGGGAAGAAAAGACTGCTCGTGTTTAAAGAAGAAAGGAGATCCAAACACAGTAATTTACCCAACCTTCAAATTAAAGCTTCTCCTCGTAAAACGCCAATTTCTACTTTGCTGTGCTGGTCAGCTGCTCTGTGCACACTCTGCTTCAACAACGCTGTCTTTAAAGCTGCTTCCAGTTCGTTCAATAAGTTCACTGTGTGTGTGTGTAATCGGTAAAGATTCGGCAGCGTGGTGTTGGCATATTCCAACGACAAAGACAAGACAACAATGAGAGCCTTGCATCGTGGCTGATTAAAAGGAACCACGCAAGACAACATGTGCAGTGTAACTTTCATCAAGCCCTGCTCCTCGTGCTTCCTCTCCCGCTCCTCTTTCTCCCCAAAGCAGGGAAGGGCTTCCTCTCTGCCGTTTCCAAGGGGCAAAACCATCTGGTGCAGGCTGGGTCAAGTAGATATGTGTGTGTGTGGGGGGGGGCTGCTGCACCGAGGGGGTGTAACTACAGACTGCACTCCCCAGTAAAGACAGGGCCTGTAGGTTGTCATCACACTGCCCAAAAAAACCCAAAGAGGCGCTCCCACCGCTGGATCCCACAGCAGAACCACAGGGCTTTCTGCACGCTACGTGGGCCACAGATGGACAAGACGAGGGATGTTTCCATAGTTATGTTTACCCACAAACACTATGGCTGGTTTTAAAGAGTAAGGAAACACTAGTTAAGGTTCCTCAGACAACCTGTGGAGTTTACGTAACGTATAATTGGATGCAAATTAAACAAATCTGTATTTTTTTGTTAGTTGTTGAGCTGCAGGCTTCTTCCCATCTTCCACCAGTCCTTCATAACTAACTTAAAACCTGGAGCTGCGAGTCAGTACTGATTAAAGCGCAGTACTGGGGGACTTTGGTCTAAATGTTTGGTTCAGTGCACAACAATAAAAGCCTTTATTATCCTGCTTCAGTATGTCCTCAAAGGCTGAAGGATAAGTTGCATTATGTGCCTCAAGTGTACAATGCTTTAAAAAAAAAAAAAGGTGGGTTCAGCCCTGGAAGCAGCCTGTCTTGCTACGTGTTAGTCCAAACATTTCCAGCTGTAGAGTTTGGCTCTGATCAGTCAGGATCTGAAGGTGGAATCGCTCAACTATAATCAATCATCATCGGTGATGAAATGTGCGACTATTGTTTCCAGTGACAGGCTGGAGTTAGTTATAAGTGAACCGCAATAACACACAAACCAAACCTCGGTGTTAGAAACGAAGAGCATAGTGCTGGTGTTAGGCAGACATCGTAACAGTTTGAAGTAGAAGTGATTTTAAGGACTTACCGATGAGCCTGTGTGTTCGGCGGTTATAACGTTATAACTTCTCCAATCGGCCCTGACAGACAGGAAAAACCCTCCACACACACACACACACACACACACACACACACAGGAGCCGCGGTAGAGAGTAATTGCCCCGCAAAAAACCGGTTTTTCCTCCCAACTTCTCCCGAGGCTTTTTTTTAAAAGCTCACAGGCTGAACTAAACCGCCAACAACGGCATCGTTTCAGTTCCTAACCCCCCACCCAGGTCTTTGAACGCGACACTAGCCCCCTGACTACAGATGTGAGGACGGTTAGCTCGTTTCCATTCTCCGCGGCTGCCTCGGTCACTCACACAACTTTCTAACGGACATTAACCGTTGACGTCCCCAACTTCCACCTCTCTGGAAAATCTTAACCTCCCTCCGTCTCCTCCTCCTCTCTCTCTCTCTCTCTCTCTCCCCCCTTTCTCTCCGCCGAAGTAAATGGCACTTTAAAGGAGAAAAACAAAGGAGGAAAAGTTTTTTTTCCCCTCTCTCTCTCTCTCTCTCTCTCTCTCTCTCTCTCTCTCTCCGAGGCAATCCCCTCTCTCTATCTCCATCCACCGCCGGCAGTTGGGCCGTTGGTCGGGGGCAGGGAGGAGGAGGAGGAGGAGGAGGAAGGTGGGGGCTCAGTAACGGATGAGGCCGTCGCTTTAATGAGCTAGCCGACTATACCTGAACTCTTGTGATAAAAACAGATTCAATTAACTGGGTTAGTTTGAGTTTTTACACCATAATGAACCGATAGGAGTCACCAGATCAGTCTATTAACACCAAACCTTAACGTTAACATCAACAACATTATATAACAGAACACAGGCTAACCTATAATCACACATTAACTAACGTTAACTGATGGATTAGCTACAGTGCTAGGAACAACAGAGACACTTTGTACGTATGAGTATGAATTCATTTACTAAAGCTTTACACGGCACTTCAACCAGTAAGACCTCATTGTGGGGTTGCCAGGGTCTCTGTCTGGCATTTAACCAACTCCAGCAGCACATATTTGGTTCTCCTAGCTCTAGTTTGTGGAGTAAATCACTCCAAACGACCTATGACCTGTGCTGCAGGGGCCCTGAAGCCTAAATCCGTTTATTAACACGTTAGCAAAATGTACAACTATAGAGTGGTTTAATTAACTTCACTTTATTTTGCCAGTATAATCCACTCATAAATACGGCTTTCTGGTGACTCTTGGGTACACACATAAAACTTTAAAACTCAGTATTATTAACTTTTTATCATTTTTAATTACGCACGAATCACTAACTTTTGCTGTTTGCCTCTTACAAAGTGACAAACCTGCTTTACATTTGTAACTGTGTCATTAACCTCTAATTATTATTTTTTTAACAACTTGACAACCCAAGTTGTCCTAATTAATGGCCTATAATTGATCCAAAAAGCAAAAGTGGTTAAACAATAAATAAATTATATATAAAGTATAAAACCGCCTATCCAAGGCCTATTATGAGCTCCAAGAAGACAGTGACTTGCATGTGAAGACAGACAGGTTGTATATACTTCATGCTTATTCATGCTCTTCTCCTTTCTGTATTCATACAGTGACACATTGAGGGTTAGGAGGAATTTGTGGTGTCCAGAGGGTAACAACTGTTGTCACAGGACCCTGTGGATTGTGTTTGTGCATGCAGAGGGAATGAGCTCCAGCTGAATGCTGGGACTGTATGAGCACTTCATTCTCACCACAGGGTCTGCCGGAGGAGAAGGTGGAGGTTGTGTGTGTCTGTGTGTGTGTGTGTGTGTGGCAGAATCAGGATCTTATTTATAACTACGATCTTAGCAGACAGTACAGCTACCACACTATAAATTCAACAACTACACCCACAGGGGTTCATTGTTTACCTCTTTAAACTCAAACAGATTATTACTTCGACAGGGCTCATAGGTTCCACATTTACGTGCCTTGAAATATCTCAGTAACTTGATCATTTATTGGCACTTTATTCGACGTGAGCCCTTTCACTGCATTTCCAGGAGGATTTAGCAAAGGACAAACGTTTGACTGTACCGCTGAGAATAAAATACACTGATAGGTTGATCGAAGTGAAGGACTGAACTCATTATTCATGTTCTTTTTAAAATGCCATTTTCTCCTTTCTGGTGAAAATCTACATTTCTGAAGTCTGAATCACAACTAATGTATTTAACATGCACAGAATCAAACAAAGAAAAGGCAAAATACCATCTTGAACATGAGACTTTGAGTAGTACACCCATATGAACAACACACACATGAAACCAGGCACTAGTAAGGTAAAGACTATGTTCCTCTTATTGCGACATAAAGCTTAGTTTCGGGGAATTGACGTGACAAACAAATCAGGTATCTTTTTTCCACCCACTAACAAAACTGAACAGACGAGAATATTTCCCTGAGAATTTGCCTACACATCAGACTGCGGCCTAAGGCGACATACAGCAGGAGACTCACTACACAGCCCTTCTACAGCCTTTACCGGGGTTAACAACATAAACACATACTTTCAGTGAGGGTAATTGAAGCTCCTTGATTTATGTAGCTTTTAATTTAAACTTTAGGTCTTCATTTTCACTAACACAAGCATGGCTTCTATTTACTGAAAGTCTGCATGATTTAATGACTGTATAACACATCTGTTACTAACATTTATGCAACAAAGCCTCCAGGCATTTTCTTTCATGTTCTGGTTACAAAACAATGAGTCATCCCCGTATATTTAATATACACAGTCAAAGACCGGTTGATACATTAAGACATATAAGACACTTCTCTGTGCAGAGGCAGTGATATACCTTTAACCTCTTAGCTTTATGAACTACACTCACCGTTGTGCTCACATGTTTAACTCGCAGCAGTATCAGTAGATTGTCAGGTCTGTTTCTTGCTCCGAGGGTTGGGGGCAGAGCAGATGCTACGACAGGAAGTTACTAACATGGTCCAGATGTAAGGACAAGAGACCACCTCCGACACAGCTGCAAAACAGGGATGACTACAGGCAGCAACTGCAGACATACGCAGGGTCCCTGTGCTGAAGAAAGCTCAATCAAGAAATTAATCCATGTCACTTTTTTACAGTTATTAACAGACTGAGATTTTGATCTCCGTCCCTGTTGTCATTGGGCCTGTCCTCACTCACTGGTACAGGACTGAATACAAATTTTTTAAAGAGATATTCAATAGATTCAACAGTTCAAATGAGATATTCTACATAGTCAAGTAATTCTTAAACTCATTCACTCAGATAACAGTTCAACATTTATGTGCCCTCTAGTGTTTAAAACGATGCACTGCAACAAAGTGACAAAACAAAAAAGCCACTACTGAGCCACTATCTTGACAGCAGTGATTTTTTTTATTTTTATTAACAAGTAGGCATGAATTTTACTCTGAAATCTGAAGACAACTTTGGAAATGACTGAAAAGTACAAAAGAATACAAACAGATGTATTTTTTATCATAACAATGAGCTAATTAACCTACAGCTTTCATATCAAAGATGAAATTACTGAGTTATAAAGAGTTGTGTGATGCAAAACTTTCTCAGACGGTAATATCTGTAGGTCTATGATGTGAATGTAAAGACTATTATTTATTTAATTTCTTACCAAAGACATAACAAACTGAAATAGCTTAACAATAATCTATGTATCCACAGGGGCAGGTCTAAGGGCCTGTTTCTTTGGGTTGTTTGGTCTTTAATATCCGTTAATAGAGTTTCCGCTCTCTGGACTGCAGACCTCCAGAGAGCTGTATCCACATTTTATGTCTCCCTTGTCTGCAGTCTTTTACAGTCCATTAAAGAAAGTCACTAATCCTCATCATCCTCTTCATCAATTAAGACCATCTTCCGTCTACGCTTCACAGGAGCAGAGATATCCTCCCTGTCTGAATCCGCATCACCGTTGGTGTCCATATCCACTGCAGTGGTGGAGTTGTCCTCTGTGAAGACAGCAATGTGTCAGCCAAAATGCTGCAGTTCAGCCATGTTTAAACCTTTTAACCTTCAGCTTTCTGGCTGTGTGCCCACTTATTTTATCAAACAAACACATTAAAACACTAATTTCCAACAGTACAATACCATTCTCATCATCATCGTCGTCGTCTAACACTCGGTTTCTGCTTCTTTTAGTTGAGGTCTTCTCATGGGACCTGATGTGAACAGGAATATATTAAGAGGTAAGAGTATTTAGAATTAAAAATAGACATTTCTCAGCTGTGGTTTGGCTTAACGGATTAACAAAAAACACAGGGCGATACCTCACCTCTCAATTGTACTGTCTGTATCCTCAATAGGAGTGACATCTGACACAGGAGCTAAAAACAACAACAAAAAGTTCAATAATATTAACAAAGTTATCTTAATTCTCATCTTCGATTAGCAATATATTTAAGCCAACTGGTGTACAATGCTGCATCTTAAAGGCTTAGCCAACACCTAGTTTCACACTGGCTTCTAGTGGCTTCCCATCTCGCTTCAAAGGCAGTTTTTAACAATTTTCTTTAAACCGACATACCAGAGAAATCTTAATATTGCACTTGGTTTGTCCAGCATTCGGACATTTACAAACAAAATTACATTACACTTTTCCACGTGAAAACTATTGCAGTGGATTCGTGTTACATTTCTCAGGACGCTGAAGCATAAACATGGACTTTTTACATTTACACTAGATTAGCCAAAGCAGGCTATTATAGAGGCATGTTTTATGTGAACCATGTAACTTAACCCTCCCTTACGTGACAGAACTGTAATTAACTGCTGTCATCTGAGGCAACGTACAGAATATGAAACTCCCACACATACCTGTGTGCTCTGAGGTGTGGTGTTTCCTCTTGCGTGAGAGCAGAAGAGCTCTCATAGCCTGAGCTCTCGGTTCACCTGAGACCTCCTCCTCCTCCTCCTCCTTCTCCTTCTCCTTCTCCTTCTCCTGAGATTCTACAGTTGGATCCCTGGAGCCGACTTCCTCCTGGTTTCCTTTAGGTTCATCCTCTCTTGGACTAAGAGCTGCAGCTGCACTGTGGAGCTGGGATGGAGTGATGTTTGCTGGGATCCTCCAAAAGATCTCCTGGTTACAGAACAGTGAAAGATACAATTAAAGTTAAAGCTATAAAGTGATTTACCATCAGGTGTTTAATCAATCATTTAAACATAATACATCATCATTTTGTACCGAGGTGAAATTATGTTAAAAAACACAGACACACACATACTTGTTCATTTGCAGGTCCTCTAATTCCCAGTTTGCGCAACAGTTTCCGGAAGCTCTTGTTGTCCATGGCGTCTTCATTTTCTTCTGTCAGAGGAACAAGTGGCACAGCCTGGGACAAACCTGGTGAATAGACCACAACAGTTTTATTAACAGAACTAACAATAGTAATCAGAATATGTTTTTCACACACACTGTAACTTCGCTTAGAGCTAAAACCACTTGCAATAGACAAATACATAAATAAAATGTTTTAAATACAGCATTTTTGTTTTGTAAAAGTTGATCTTACCATCTTTTTTACGGTCCTCTGCGGTTTTGTTCAGACAGTTCTGTAGCCACAACATGGGTCCAGACAGGCCTGAAAAACAAAAAAAACAGATCATAATGTAAGAATATTTCATTCTTGTAGTCTTAAATATAAACTTTTTCAAACAAGGACTTAACACACATGCCACCAGTGTCTTTGTACATATTTTTAGGGGTTAGTTTCTTTGATTTAATCTAACAAAGAGTCTGATTATTCTTTGAACTTGTCACACCTTCCTGTTGTAGAGTAAGCACCATGTTGCCTACATCAGCTCTCCTCTCTACTTGGGAGTGCAGGCTTTGGCTCCTCCTTCCTCCATTTTGTGATTTTTCCTGTTCTTGATCTTCCTCTTCCTCGCTCTCTTCACACTCATCCTCTTCTTCGTCTTCATCATCTCTGTCCACGGAATCATCTGGGAAATCTTGTGTTAGTCCTTCTAGGAACTCTTCTTCAGTCTGTGGCAGAAAAACAAGGACCTTTATTGTAGAAACACCATTTCCTGAAATATAATTTATCATGCATACGATGTATAATTATTTTTGTATAAGACGCATAATTGTTTTCATTCTCTTAATGTGGTCCTTATTGTTACTGTAAAAGATGAAAGTACTTCTAAAATAACTTTACCATTCCTTTTCCAGCGCTCTTTCCTTTTGCACTGCGACTCCTTCTCTTATAAAGCTCACGTCTCTCAGACACCAACCCCATACTGAGCAGCTTGTCCACCACACGAGCACGGGACCGCTTGGCTGTGACCTTCTTCAGGATGTTACCCAGCACATCTTAGAAAATACAGTTTTATCACTTAAGAGAGCTGCCGCACAAACAATGAAGTGTTCCTGAGACTAGTGTTGTTCAAGGACTGGGAATGAAAGGTCATTTTCCTCTCATGCACTACACAATGATAACATGGTGTCTGGTACCGTCAGAGTCTTTGTACTCCTCGTAGAGCATCTCCAGCTCCAGCTCCTGCTCCTCGGTCCAAAGAACAATCCGAGTACCTTTCCTTTTGTAAAAGAAAACAAGATAACTCTTTAACTAGGGTGTCTTAAGATGTGCAGTGTATAGAGCCTGTCCGCAATACATTCCTCTCTAACATTAATACATTACTCATTCTGTCTGGAGTACATACTTCTGTTTCTTCAGATCTTTAGCATTGTCCACCAGACCCATGTGCACCAGCTGCGTCACCACCTGGCGCCGAGTGCGACTGCTGTTGCTGAGTAATGGCAGCAGAGTCTCCACTATATCTGGCACTAAACACAAGGATCAGCAGTCAATGTAAGAATCTACACAGTACATAGTGTGAAACTGCATCTAGTAAGTTATAATACAACTAACAGAAAAGACGTGCAAAACCAAAACACAAAAGGAAACAGACCTTCAGAATGATGATGCTCTTCATAGAGCTTGCGCAACTCCTCTTCCTCCTCTTCAGTCCACGTTGGTTTTTTTCCCTCTCTGACATATTTAGGATGAGATGCAATATTTCAAATTGCAGAACCAAAATGTTGCCATTTTGTAATAAATATAAATGTTTTGTAAAAGATAATGCCATACAATTTTACAGTCCATATTATAGGAGTCCATATTTTCGCTTAACATGACACACAATGATAGACAAACGCTAGAGAAATACAAAACAAAGAGCCCCAACCCGTCTTTGCTGTAGCCTTCAGTCATCTCACGTGCAGCCCCCACATTTTTCCAGAACAGCAGTTCAACATATGCCTTGTCGTTTTGTGCTGCCAGTGAAAAGAAATGGTTCAGCACATACTTGGCAAAGGTCACCAGTTCCTGTAAAAGAGAAAATAAAGGTAAGCTGTTGTATCTAATCTACAGCTGACCTTATATCACAGCCGAATGTTTTCCTCTTGTTTTTACTGTACCTTGTAAGCAGCTGCGGCAGGGTCGCTCAGGATCTTGTTGAAAAGGTTGAATACTGACAGCTGGAAAAGTAGGGCATCCATTTTGAGGTCGACAGCCACGCGGTGCAGCATTCGAGCGATGCAGTGGTTTGTGTGAGGTGTGTTTTTTGAGTATGACCTTAATAAGAGGAGGTATGGACGCACAATATTGGGGCTGGCAAACCTGTCAGGGGTGAGAGAAGGGTAACATGCCCATTAGGAATGTCACAAAAGTACCATTTGGCATGTAGTGGCAGGTTACTGTCCTGAACGTTACAATAATGGTTTTACTCACTTCTTGATGAAGTCTAGAAAGTTGAACTCTCTTTCAGAAACCTGGACAGACTCGAACTCTTCCTCTTCTAACTCTGCATCATCCTCGTCCTCTACAACAGGCTCAGGAGGAGATGACCCTGAAATTGAAAAAAAAGTTTGAGTGCTGCACAGATGCTGTGATACAAGTAACACAAGTATACATTTTAAAAACTTACTGGGCAGGGTGGCATGCAGGATCTGCTTAAGGAGTTCTAGTTCCTCTTCAGGCTCCACATCAGCTGAACCAAACACATCCCCCTCTGGCCACACCTCCCTGGGTATGACAAGAAGATGGTAAATACTTAAATAACTCAACATGCGTCATTAGTGTGAGGGGTTGAGTCTTTCTGACCTGGCAGCCCGCAGCAGACCCAGCGCTTCTGGTCCCAGACGGGCCAGCAGGGAGTCCTGCACCCGCACCATGGCTTCAGTCCGCTGCTCTTCAAGTGGAGTTTCAGATGTGGCGTCGAATGGCACGATGCTTTCCATTAAAGACTCTGACAGCTGCACACGGAAGACAGAGAGGTGGTATTCAGTGTAAATAGGAAATTTTGCCCTTCAGAGAAGCTCTTCGAAGCCAAATGTTCTTGTGCACTACTACTCTGCCCTCTAACAATAAATGCTCTCTGCTCCCCCCTGAGGTTTATTCTCACACTGACCTGAAACCCTGCAGTCTTCAGCTCTTCCTCCACAATCTTCCAGGTTTCTGCTAGCGCTTCGGGACTAGTTTCTGCAGCTGAGGGCTTTTTGTCACCTCGAGACCTTTTCCGCTTCACCTTCTTCTTCTGCAGAGTTAACAAAAGTGAGATATCAATATATTTTAATAAAAAGGTACCCACGACAAGAACTTACACACACTACGAATAACGCACAAGACCTTACCTGAACGATCAAGTTTCTGTGACCTTTGCAGAAGCGCTCTAACATGCGCAAGAAAAGATGAGTTGACTCCACCAAGTCTTTGAGGTAGGAGTGAGGCTGTTTGGTTTCATCATACTTCCTCAGCAAGGTCAGGAAAATCTCCCTGTATTCCATCAGGTAAAATATGTTACCTAGAAAGTGAAGGTAAACAGATGAGGCAAACCTGAACTACAATCACATGCAACCCTTTTTTATGTTTAAGACAAATGGCTGTTATTTAAATGTAATATCTGACAATGTACTCTATCTGAACAGGAGCGGTTAGTGTCTTACTTTTAATAACGTTGGAACTGTGACGGATGCTTTCATCCTGTGAGCGGTCCATCTCGTTCACAGTTAGCAGCAGTTCCTGATACGCCTTTAGAGCCAGGTGCATCCTAGAAAGAACAAGTGATATGATGAGAGCAGATGAGCACCTTCAGCAGGAGACTACTCTAACCCAGATGCACCACAGAGCGCCA